AGCAACAGAGTGGGTAAAAAAAATGGAAGACCTAGGTTAGATGAGATGGAGAGTAATACCCGATAGTGAAACACGAGGCGTATTTCATCTGATGTCCAAAAACACTGAGAAATATTTGAAACAACAGAAGGAGTGTTTCATCTGAAATCTTAAAACCGGGAAGAGACGGCAAGCTATTTGGGAGTGTTTCACCTGCTATCTAAACACTGAGAATTGTTTCACCTGATATCCAAACACCGAGAGGTAATGAATCAAACACGAGTAGTGTTTTATCTGATATCCAAACACTAAGTAGTAATACGTGAAACGCAAGGAGACGTTTATCTGATATCCAAACACCGAGAATTGAGACATCAACACGAGAAGGAGTGCTGCATCTGATATCCAAACACCGAGAAGTCCAGCAATAAACACGAGGGGGAGTGTTTCATCTGATATCCAAAGACTGAGAAGCAATATACCAAACTCTAGGTGGAGTGTTTTATCTGGTATCCAAACACCGAGAAGTAATACATCAAACACGAGAAGGAGTGTTTCATCTGATATTCAAACACCGAGAAGTAAATCATCAAACGCGTGGAAGAAAATCTAGTGACACACGGTGTTACGCGTTAAGTCTCTAAGATTTACCTCTGAAGCACCCTACTTGATTGAAGGTGTCAATGGACAATGAACCAACCTGCAATGTTCGCGCTATAATAACCGCCATCCAGGAAGGTTTTTTTCAGCGCGTCCATTGTAATAGGCCTTTGGACATCTTTGGGGCAACCAGGACAAAGAATCAGCGGCGCCCAGTAAGTAACACGGTCTCGTACCATGGGTCAGAGCGATTTATAGGAAGAACGTAATGCCCAGGGATATCATTGTTGCCGAAGGCTGGAAAGATTGGAATGTCTGGGAAAACTTCATGGGCTTTGCTGCTGACTGTCTGAATGGCCTTCAAAACATTGGGAGATCCTTGATCATCTGTCATGTCGTGAGCAGATAAATTCCCTATAAAATAACGCAATTTTAAAACAATTATTGAATTAGGTTGATGTTCACCTAATGAAGAATTGCGCAGGTCGAGGGGGCTGTCAGCCTCAGTCGAGATCTGTGTAATTGTTCATATCATACCAGAGCGAAATTCAACTATATGATAATTGTTTGATCTTATTTAAAATATTTCCAAGTTCTTTTGAAACATTCTTACCTCCACGTAAAGCTCTTCGTCAGTTTTGGAGAGTTTTTGTGAGTGTTGCATTCAAGCCAAAACAGCTAAGCTTCCGTGCTGCTGTCTTGCGTGACGTCGATGATGGTGTAATTGCAATATACGTAGAATCATCGACGTCTAAGTGACTGACGTCAATAAAGGTTTAATCTACCCAAATTTGGTCATAGCCAACTAGTTACGAAGGATAAACCGAGGGATTACGACTTGCGTTTGCAGCTTAATCCCCAGCTTATTTTGAAATACAAAATTCTAAAGAAAGGTAACTGTGGTTCTTCGTTTAAGTAATGTAAGTAAATACACCTTATCAACTCAGTTAATTATCACGATAATTAGAGTGTGGATGACGCAATATTTAGTCCTTGTGTAATCTTGCTATGCATCTCTCTGATATGCAGTCTGTCTAGTCAAGACCAAAATGCCAGAAAATTTGATAGCCATTAAGTCAAACCAAATCCATCAGATTCTCTGCTCGCTAAGACAGAAATCACTACCGCGTTACCCGCTTCGGTTTCATATCTTCAAGCTGCGTAAAGTGAGTCTCTTCCTTGTCGCCTAAACCTTACAATACGAACACTGAGCTCATGGCCAGAAATGTCCACTCGCTGTTGCACGTTTCCTTCCCAACAGAGACCTTTAGCATTAAGTTTCTCATGAGAGACCGCAAACTGCAGTTTGCAGTTACGCGTTTGCAGTTTCACGTTGCCTGGATTTCAAATTTTAGCAAGGCGTCCATAAGGCGGATAAAGAAAGCTTCTTCGTGCCTTTAAACGTAAGGCTGTACAATTTTTAGTGGCAAAACGCCTTGCCGTAAATCACTTACCACTGGCCGCCCTTTCTGCCTTTCAGACATGCACTGCAAAGCGACCACAAGACCGTGGTCACGAGACATTCTTAGGTTTGCGGTTTACGGTTTTCCATGAAAAACCTGTTGCTAAAGGTCTCTAATTTGTGTGCTTTTACGCCGCTCTTACCAGTTAATAATATAAACTCGGCATCTTTCCCTTTTTCCTTCATAGCAGCAAGGGTACTTTCCAAAAGCCACTCTGGTGAATCACATCCAATTCTCCCATAAGGCGCTTCGTGATCTGCCATCTTGAATCCTTCCGTACTGCGGCAACTGGTGTCCTTGCTAATTGATTGGTTGTAGAACAAGTCGAAATGTACATCTGATACGTGCATGAATTTCGTTACTTTCCTTTTCCTGTGTCTCCGTCCCTTCTTCCAGCCCTCAGTCAGGAGAGAGAAGCCAATGATCACCACGAAAATCAGTAAAATAAAGCGATTCATGATTAGCGTTGCCATTTCTTTTGTCTAGAAAAATTAAAAACCGACCAACGTTGTTCAAAGAGGACTAGACAAATCCAAGAACCGACAGACCTGTGGCCCTTTAAGGACTACACACGGATTATACCGGGTAGCTATTTAAGTATGGAAGGGAACGACACAGAACTGTACCAGAGCGTTTGGCCGGGAGGGACTCGGGAGGGTCTAAAGTTTTACTTCCGTCTCTGGGTTCCAATCCTCGCTCGTACTCATTAACTTCCGCTATGGAAGATAGAGTGACAGAGCCCTATCCGATAGGCTAGCTTCGCGACCTTTACTGTAATACAGAAATCACCGTTCTTTTGTATCAGTGGAATCCCTGTCCGGTGTGGCTTTTGTGTTTGCCCAGGTTAGAATGTTGGTTTTTGAGGAAAGGGGAAAAACCGGTGGAACGGGAATAACCTGGACAACAATATCTTCGCAGCAGAGAAGCTATGTACTACGGGCGCGAGTTTCTTCGTTATTTATTTAGTGGTAAACGATTTTTTCAGCGGTGGTTGTGTCTCGATTGTGGTTCAATTTTATTCTTGGTTTAAATTTTCTTTTCTTTTGTTTCAAACTCATTATCATACATTACCATACCCCGAAACAAACGAAAATAAAATTTAAACCAACTCCTTGAACCACAACATATACAAGGGGACCTAGTGCGAATAGTACGAGTATAACTGTCGCGGCTAAACACGCTCACCGTTCGAGCGCCATTACTATAAAACATAACGAAGCAACTGAAGGGAAGCCGAATGTATTTAATGTGCTTTTATCAGAGTTTAAATATGCGACCATCTCTTCACAACGGCCTCGGGCCTTAAAATAGCGAGCAACTGTCTTAACATTACCTTACCACACTTGACCTTTTAAAAGTGAACAATCTTCAAATTAATGCTCTCGCTTTACTCAAATCGCTTTGGTTAGTTTTTTTTTTAACACATGATTTTTGTTTATTGACATTTGTTGATTGTGTTGATGTCAATATCCTTTTGATAAGCTTTTTATGCTCACTTTTTAAAGGTTTTTAAAACGGCATCTCTGTAAAGCGACCACTTATCTATGTCTTTAAGGTGACCGTTGTAGACAGGTTCGCACTGTGTAACAACTGTTTTAATAGATAGCTTCAAAATCGTGATCGATGCCTTTCTTATGAAAATGCTAAAGTCCTCCTTTGCAAGAGTAGCGTTTTCTATTATCTCGTTATGAATTATCAATTAGTTTTAAATAAGTCAATAAATTTACATTCATACTGTTCGTTGCCGTCGTTTAAGACGTGTCAAATATATGCTTTGAAGTTGAGAGATGGGAAACGTTTTAAAACTCTTGAACTATAGCACCCGTACTTTAACACACAGATGATTTAAAGTGTGTTACTGACAGCGGTAACAGCGCGCACCCCGACTAAAAAATTCTGACGAATTCCCACAATTTTTCAACGGCGAAATTCCAGTGTGCAGTAAAATCTTATTCGAGGTTAAGGCTGTGTAAAAAAGAGTCTCGCTGTTAATCGAGTATTGACAGAAAAAAAAAGGCGTTGTATTTGTTCATAGTGATATAAATTTTTTAAAGCTTTTAAAATTGTTTTAATATGAGAGGGGGATTAACCTCTTTTGGACGATCGGCTCATAAAGATGGTTCGTAGGCATTCAACAATTTTGAGTTTTACTAAGAACTTACTTTCTTTTCTGTGTCTGTTAATGGATTTTTTTTCCCAGTATATCGGCACCTTGTCGGCTTATAAATAACTCGGTTGATGATACAGCTGTTCGTCATTAAACGATAGCTGCCAACGCGGACACGTTTAAAAATAAAATTGCGTTTAAAATTTAATTTGAATTCTGGTTTTCTTTGGCCTCGTTGGTATTCACTTTTCAATTTCGAAAAATTTCGTGAGTTACAAAAAGGCTCTCTTTTACGTATTCGGCCAAACTTTTACCTTCAATAAAGCCAGACCAGTACCGTTTACCTTAATATATACATTTTCTATATATGTTTATATTCGTTTTAAAATAACACTGAAATTGCTTCTATTTTGTGTTAACAAGTAATACTTACAACGACTGGACCAACAAAACTTATAAGGTGTTGAAATTAGTGCCACGCCTTCTTCAAAGAGCTTCCCCTTTGACTTATCGTCACCTTGGGTAGACTCTGGAAGGGCGTAAGAAATATCTACCAATATAATTAAGGCATTGAATAGGGCACGTGACGCTGAAGAATCGTCCTGATTGGCTGCCGTGAGAGTTGATATGTAGTGAGTCATAACTCTGTTAGTGCCTCCAATCGTCTACTCGTGTAATATTTGAGTGCAAATGTGGTGTGTGAGACCAAAAGCAATAACCTTTCCCTTGGCGTATTGTATTAAAAGACTTGTCGTTTGCACACTTAAGTGGTATCCGGGTTTGAATAGATGCCTTGGTTCGCACTCTTTAAGCTCAAGGTTATTATCGATTTCTTCTGGTATCAGTGTGCGTCTGACATTAAAGATTCCTGTCTTGAACTTTTCTTGAAGTCGTAAAAATATTCAGTGGAATTATGGTAAGTTATCACTTAAATTCAATAGTTTACATGTATAATAAAAGTTATTTCCAGTAATGATTTGAATATTGAAAGGTGAAAAGAAATGTCCACATGAAAAACTGAAAAAAAAAATTCCTAGCCAATCGATTAACCTGAAGAAACAAAATCTGGACGATTTTGATGTTAAACTATAAAGTTCATACTAATTATAAGGAGTAGAAACAAAAGAAATAATATCGAGTTTTAGGGATGATACCCTTGTTTAGGTTTATTTCATATTAAGCGGCTAGGGGCGCATTTTAAAATATGAAAATTTTCCTATTGGTGATGTTAACCTTACATGGGCTTCAGGTTTAGGGTTTTTTTCAGATGTGCTGGGATGTTATCTGGCATCGTTTTGAGGCCTTTTGTGAGTAGCCATGCAAGAACTTGTGTTGATCCGTTGATGTTAGATGCGGTTAGTCCTATTTTGAAATCTCAGCTGGTTTTGAAGTCTTGATGAAAGATTCCGGGCAGATCGGTTTTTGAGGCATGCAAAGAAGCTGTTTTATTCAGATGTTATTCAAAGTTCAATATTGGCTTTTACTCCTCTGCCTCGCCTAGCTCCCAGCTTTCTAATTCATAGCTGACTTGAGGCTACTTTTTGGTTGGTGTTGGCGTCGCTGAGGAGATTTAGGGCAAATTGCGTGTATGTGTAAATTGTACCTATACAATTTAATATATTAACTTGGTAGCGCTGATTGCTAAGAGCAATGCACCGGTATCGCAGTCGTCAGGGAAAATGCATTTTTAAAAACCGGAGTTGTTTTTCTTGCTTTCTTTTCGCAACTGTGCAAGTTACGTGTATGACTGTGAATTTCGAGGGATGATTTTGCTCCTGTCATGTCAGAAACCGGTATTATTTTGTGTCCCTACCCTAAAGCGTCAATTTTTAAGCACTCTGTACACCGGTGAAGTGTGATATTACGTTACCAAAAAACAAAATGTCTTGATCTCAACGATCTTTCCTTACAGTGACGGTCATTTACATTGTCCAAGCATGAAAAGAATGGGCTACCGTTTCGTCCCTGATGCCAATCATGCACAGGAACGTCAAACAAGGGTTTTCTGATCAATTTAGGCTTCTGGGAACCTGCTCACCTACCCCTTCCCTAAGCCAACATTATCACTTACTTCTCACTTAAGGCAAAATTTAGGCTTAGGGGAGGGGTATGTAGGCAGTTTCTCAGAAATCTAAATTGATCCGGGTTTTCTTCTCAGTGGTATATTTGCATATTTGTTTGTTGAGTTCCAGAAATTTTGCTACCATGGCAACATGACGTAACGACTTCTCCTCTCTATTGAATATGACAAATTCAAATTTAACATTAACATGAATTTTTCCCGGCAAAACATATGTCAATATTCTCGTCGCTTTATTTCATTCACCTTTTAGAACACAATATCACAGCTGTATTAGCCACAACGCACTTTAAATTTTTCAAAACAATTTTTGAAATCTTCATGTACAGATCTCATGATGCAATACAGGGCGAAGCGATCGTATTTTCCCGGATTAAAGTTAACTGTAAAACCCTGAATGTACCCTTTCCGATAGTGACCATCCGTTTGAATGATAAGTTGCTGATTAAGCTCATCAATTCTGTCAGCGTTAATTAGTTTGCTTTTGGATTTGGACGAGTATTTCTTGCTAGAATATGTAATCAAACTTCCATACTGGGTTAGAAACGGCTGCAAGAAAAGATAGAGATCATGTTGATTGGAAATAAGATAACGGAAGTTTGCCTCATGTTCTTCCAGTCTTTGATGAGGGTTTAGCACGAAGAAAATTGGCTGGTGCCAAATAGTATACTATTAAGAACTGACTGATCGCAAGTTAAATTTGTACTTCCCAATAATGCAAACGCCATGTAACTTTGTTGCAACTTGTAATAAAAAAACCTGTTGCACTTTGTCTGTAACAACAGAGTGTCAAACCAAGGAAAGATGTTGTCATAGGAGCAACAGCACAAGCACCTATCAATCAAACGAAGTTTCTTTGCCAACAAGGTGGTTTTAGCCGGTTCAGCCGGTTTTGGTCGATCCGCTTTCCCCTCTATCTTGGAACCTGAAACAGGCTACCTTTCACGTGTTTACGAATGAAGCTAAAATGGGGAAAATAGAAAAATTGTCCAATTGGGATTGAATCAGCTGTTTTGTTGCCATTTTTTGTTGTCATGAAACCTAGAAATTTAATTAGCGAAGTTAAATCTAGGTATTTAGACACTTTAAAAGTCTCAACAGTATCGGCCCCAATAACAATAATGTCTAGGGGTGCAAACGGTAGTTTACTTGGTGATGTGATGACGTCATAATTTATACAACCGTAAAATTTTGAACATACTGAGCTCTTGGCAAGAGCTCAGTATGTTCAAAACATTCTTTTTTAAGCAAAAAATGATTTTATTAATGGC